AAACATTGGTGAATGCCACAAATTCTCCTAAATCACTCGTACGCACAACTTAAGAACAAATCTGTGCGTACGAACGGTTCTTGCATGAGGCCCCAGTGAGACAGAGACAGACTTTCAAAGGGCAGCTGCAATTAAATTAGACAAATACATAAAAAGTTGAAAACTTACCCTTGTTTTTGTCACTAATGGATCAGGAAATGCGTGTATTTATCGGTTGATGTTGATACAAGAAAAAATCACAAATGTCAGGCCAAAGTATCGGCCAATGCAAGATAAAAAACACAAATGTCGTCTCAAAGTATTGGCCGATACAAGGAAAAAAGCACAAATAACGGCTCAAAGTACTGGCTGTCCTATGTATTGGTCAACCTCTAAATATAACATAAAAACTTCAGCACTAAAAGAATCTTAAACTGCCAGAATCAAAAGCCAAGGAGTAAAGATGGGTCTTAAGAAGTCCAAATGCAAAAAGTAAGCCATTCCACAGGTTTGAGGCAGAAAGCCTGATCACCTCTGAATTGTAGCTCAGAACCAGGAACATCTAAGAGAAACTGTTTGGAGGACTGAAGTGCTTTAACTTGAGTGTTGATGTTAAGAGGATCACAAAGGTATAATTGAACTTTAGAACTTTAAAAACCAACAACAAAACCTTAAAATCTATCTTAAAGCAAACAGGACGTCAATGGAATGAAGACTTGTACTGCATGAATTTATGGTCAATAGGATTATCTTTACTAATCAAGTTATTGTGCGAGGCCGTATTTTCACATAACTTATAATGTCAAGATCGTAAGAAAAAAAACATCTAATCGAGGTTTCAATCACATCTTTGCTGCTGTAACAAGACTAAAGCTCTGTTTGTGATTGCAAAAACCACAAAACAACATGAAATGGCATGTCTAATCTAGAACTGTCATTTAATTGCTGTTTGTGGCAGGAGCTGCACGACTACGGTGGTGGGATCCCCAACGAACTGGTGGTGATGCTGGAGCGCTGCGTCGGCCTGAACGCTCGCTGGCCGGGACTCATTCCCGATGCCTACCTGACGTACAGGTTGTACGACCTGCCGCCTCACACCTCGCAAACCGTCCAGTGTGCGACTGACCCGGTGTTCAACGACGTCACCAGCCACCCTCTGGCGGTGACAGCTGACGTGCTGCACTACTTCAGGTCGGCTGGTTGATAATCTCATTTAAAGTGTCCGGTTCGTGCTGCTTCACACCTCTTAGGTATGTTTTCCTCAGGTCCAGCAGTCTGTGGGTCTATGTTTTTGATGATGGTGAAGATCAGATGCCACCAGCCTACCTGGCCAAGACTCCGATCCCACTGCGAGCTTTGGCTACAGGCAGAGAGATCAGAGGTGTGTTTTCACAGACTGAAGCGTTTGAATTTAGTTAAAAGCTGAAGCCAGACCACATCGGTTATTTGGACCCATTTCTGTGTCCCATCAGGTGATTACGTCCTAAGAGATCCAGCTGGTGGACCTCGAGGGATGGTCAGAGTCATGCTGAAATGGAGGTACCCCTTTCATCCACCAGTGGATACTCTGCAGGGTGGAGGGGAGAGGGGCGTGGAGGAGCAGGGCAGAGCAATGAGGAGCGCTCAGAGGGAGGAGAGAAGAGACGAATCACAGAGACCCATAGCAAAGCCAAGAGTGAAGGTGATGTTCAGTCAAAACTTTTCAATCTATCTCCAGGTGACACACACTCAAAATCACTTCCTGTTTCCTGAACAGACTCAACCTCCTGAAACCAAACCTGTGCAGAAAGAGACAAAAGACTGGGTAAGGTTTCACACTGATTTACGTCTAAATAAACGGTCTGTAGCACTTTTTTTTCTTTACATTTAAATACGTGTCTGCCTGCAGCCTCAGCCTGTCCTCGTAAAACAGAAAAGCTCACGGGACGTACGGTCGGAGCAGATCACCTCCGTGAAACCTCGAGACGCTCGTCTGTCAGCAGACAGGAGGAGGTCCAGCAGGAGGTCAGAGGAGGTGTGTCAGAGAACACCTCACCTGAGCCCAGAGCCAAGACAGAAAACACCCTCCCACAGGTGAGACACTTCATTTATGTCAAAACTTATTAAATATGAGCACAGATTTTACATAACAAGGCAGAACAATAGAACAGGTGTATAAAGTACATTTACTTCTTCACAGTATTTAAGTAATTTTTTGAGGAGCTGTAATTTTACCAGAGGCATATAAAGTATTTAAAAATAAATAAATAAATAAATAAATAAATAAATAAATAAATAAATAAATAAACGAAAATGAGTTTGGTCAAATTGAATTTACTGAACCAAACCGGTTCCACTAAACTGAGCAATTTAAACATTTTATTTTAAAGAAAATGTAAATAAATTGCTCAATTCTCTCAGCTGGGTTTAGTGAACCCAGTTGACAAAACCTGGTTCAGTTAATTCAACACTTTATTTTTTAAGAGTATATAAATCGCTGCTTTCATGATGAGTTTGGTCATTTTTTAATTTGTAACAAGTTGTTGAATTTTAAAGAGAAGAAGTAAAAGTATAATTTTTATGTTTTAAATGTAACAAAATAAAAGTCGAAAGTTACTATTTAAAAAATACTTGGTATATTTAAAGATCATCAAAAATAATTACTTAAGTACTGTAACAATGTAATTTATTACTAAACACCTCTTAATTTTACCAAGTACATTTTAAAATTGTAACTTCTGCTTTTATTTTGTTAGATTCGAAACATAGAAATGATACTTTCCTTTCTTTACTTCACCTTCATTACACATTTAAATATGACTGAAATCATCATGAGAGGAGTGGTTTATGCACTCTAAAAAATAAAGTGTTGAAAACTGGTTTCACTAAACCCATTAGAGAAAACTGCTTTACATTTACTCAGCTCTGCTTACTGGAACCAGTTGACATAAGTATGACATAAGTTTTATGTCTGTTTTGAAGTAAAGATGTATTCTAATACTTGTTTATCTTTTCAAGTACTTTATTCACCTTTGAACAATATTATGTTTTTAAGGCTAGCTTCTACAAAAATGTTAGAAATAGGCTCATAAATCTTTAATTTAGGCTAAATAAAAAAGTTTGTATCATACTATCTGTTTTTTTAAGTATAGCCATAATTTACATAAGTGCTGCAGGGTTTTTTTTACAACATAATTGATGGTAGAATATTTCATAAAAATTGCACGTTTCAATTTCAGGTCGTCAGTGGGGTCAGTTTCCAGACTATCGATCACCTCAGCATCGAGGGGAAATTCTGTCGGTGACGCTGGGATTCAGGTCAGTTTAACCAGTTTCTGAAAACTCTTCGGTTGATCACAAAGCTTTTCACAATCTCAATGTCATTTTTTTTTCCCCCAGGACGTTCCTTCTGTGGATCAGGTGTCGGTTTCTGAAGCAACAGGTGAAGAAGAAGACAAGAGAAGTGAGAGTGGTAACTGTTCACACACACACTGAACAGATTTACCTTCAAGTTTCTACGTGTCTTTAAAAATGCAAAGAAAAAGATGTTGAATCTAAAAATTTAAAAACATGTGGATAGTCTTTGCATAAAAATTAGATTTGAAATGTTTTACAGTGACAAGCATCCATGTTGGTCTTGACTAGCAGTTTGTTGAATTCTTTTTATTCCCATCCTGAAGCCGTAAACTTAATCTACATGTAATGCATTAAAGGGGGTAGCCATGTGGAGCTGCTTAAACACTTCCTGGTACAAAGCTCCACCTATTTGTACAAAGCTCCTCCCTGTAGCTCAATCCCAGCCTAGCTTCCGCACAACAGAGCACCCCTCCCCCGAAGCATTTTTGTGAAGACGTGCTGAAGTGGGAGTGTCCGAAATGGTAGGAGTGTCTTAAAGAGACAGAGGCCAATTTCAAGGTGTTTAGATTTAGACTGTGGTGCAAAATTAAATTTATTTTTGATATATGCAGTGTTATCATAACAACTAAAGGTAACGTAGTTACTCAGTTGCGTTTTAGAATTGAACCATGTGCCTTGTAAATGCACAGCACCGCTCCTAATTGTTCACAACATTTCTACACAATCACACTTCAAAAATTGTGCTTCAATTTTCAAATTCTTATCTTTTTATGTTCCAAATCTTGTCTTTTTCAGGAGACAGCGAAGGCCCTGAGTCTTCAGAGTCCACACAGAGCGACGTCATAATTGTAACTTCAAAACGAAAAATTAACAAGGTACAAACTCAATGTGAATGAAAGTGGAACAAAAAATACGGGTTAAATCTTGTGCAGGAATTGAATTTGAATTGCTCAGATAGAATCTGAATGTGCATAATTCGAAATTGAATGCATTGGTTTGAAACAAAACTTCACTGAATTGAAACTGAATTTAATGATTTGAAACTAAATTCAAAGTTTTGCATTTCAATTACTTTTCTTTGAAACTGTATGTTGGTTTATTAAAATTCAGTTTGACTACTTTTACTTACAGTTCCATAATTCAATTTCAGTTCCAAAATTCAGCAAGCCAGAGTAATCAAACACAGATCCACAGATTTACATTTCGCTTTGGTGAAGTTTCCCTTCTGTATAGAACAGAGTTGATGCAATCCACCATAAACGTGACAAAAACAGACAGTTTTTTTTATTGCAATGATTAATGTGACCTATATGTAGAAAATGTTACATTTGCCTCCTGTCATGGATCAGTCAGCAGCATCTGATCAATATGTGATCCATGATGTGAAGTAAATGTAACATTTTCTACATATAGGTAAAATTAATCACTGCAATAAAAAACTGTCTGTTTTTGTCACTTTTACAGTGGATTGCATCGACTGTTACATACAGAAGGGAAACTTCACCAAAGTGAAACATAAATCTGTGGATCTGTGTTTGATTAGTCTGCCTGGTTTTCTCAAGGACCAGGATGTGACACAAAAATCTTAATTTTGGAACTGAAAGTGAAAGTAGTCAAACTGAATTTTTAATAAACAAAATACAGTTTCAAATCAAATTCATTCAAATTCAAACCGTTAAATTCAGTTTAAATTTTGTGAAATTTATTTTCAAGCCAATGCATTCAATTTCGAATTATGCTCATTCAGATTCAATCTGAGCAATTCAAATTCAGTTCCTGCTGGCACAAGATTTATCCCATAGAACAAGTTGCAAAAACCGAACTAAAACTAATGCAAATGACGTGAATTGTTTTGATTTTTGGAAGGGAGACAAACTAAGAGTTGAGATTCTGTCCCTGACGTTTGAGCCGTCCTCTAACGTGGCGTTGGACCGGTCGGTGCAGCGTGTTTACGTGGAGTATCGGCTGCTGGGCGTTCCCATGGAGTCGACAGAAACACCTGTGTCCCTCCGAAAGCCTCTGGAAGGAGAGGAGATTCACTACAACTTCACACGAGGTGAGGCTCGGGTAGGAATTGGGTTTAATCAAGTGTGTTTCAGAGATCCTGACGTTGATTGTCCTTCTCAGTGATCTATGTGGACGGATCACCGTCGGCTCCGCTCAGACAGTACCTTTACACCATGTTGGAGGGCAGAGACCCCAACCAGGGCAGGTGGGGTCCTCTACACCTGTGCTGATGCAGGATGTATGAGTACAGCTTATTACATCTGTGGTGTCGCCTCAGGTTAAAGTTCACAGTAGTCAGTGAGCCGATGGACGACGAGGACGAGTGTGTGGACGTCGGGCACGCTTTTCTGGACCTGCAGGAACTGCTGCTCACAGGAAATGATGTCATCGAGCAACAAATTGACAGTTGGTGTTGTATTTGGGGAATTCTGTAGTTTAAGAGAATAATGAGCCATATTTTAAGTGAAAATGCAAGTTGCCTTTTTAACTTTAACTGACGTAATCTTGTTTTGAAACCTTAAGTTTGAGCGAGTTTTGGTCAAAAATTCTGGCTAAAACACGTGAGTGTTATGAGCCCTTTTGTTATGAAATGCATTTACATATGAGTGTCAATATGAGTCAAGAAGTAAGTTTTACAGCATAATCGATTTTAGACAATTGTTCTGTAATGTTGCCTGTTTTTATTTATTTATTTTTTCTCCAGTTCTAAGTGTGGATGAAGACAAGGAGGTGATAGGACATCTGAAAGTGTCCCTGGAGGCAGCCAAAGCCCTCACGGGGATATACCAAGAGTTTCACAAGAAAGATGGTCGAAAACCAGAGGAAGAGGAGGCGGAGAAAGAAGGAGGGAAAGCGAAGAAGAAAATTGATCATATTCAAGTGCAAGATTATGATGATGACAGTGTTTTCTACTGAACATAAAAATATGTGAACATTGTGTCTTTTTGAATATTATGAAAAGCCAATAAACATTTAATTTAAAAAGTATTGGTTATTATTATTATTATTATTATTATTATTATTATTATTATTATTATTATTATTATTATTATTATTATTATTATTATTATTATTATTATTATTATTACCTATCCGTTGTCTTTGTTACTGAAATGATTAAAACATTTTCAAGCTTCTGAGCTTGTGACGTGTTCAATGTACTCAACATCAGTGTAGGAGTAAAACCTATTCAACTAAACAAAGACTAGCCCAATGAAACACAATCCGTTACATTATTCAAATGCATGGTTTTATTTTAAATCACAAAGCGTAATCACATTAAAAATATACATAAAAAGATTTTAAACGCAATGTACATCAGGAAAATAAAGTTTTGCAGCGCGTAAGCAAAATTTCCGACACTTTTAAACGTCTCATACAATCAAACGTCACCTGCGTCCTCTTCGCTAACAGAGTGTCGGTTAATTTTAGCTTTTGTTCTGACTAATAGTTATTTTAAAAATAAAAAACCGCCGTAGCCCTTTTTAGTTGGTTGGTTGGTTGGTCCACCCACCACCAACAAAAAAGTTAAGTGAAACTTGGAGACAGTTAAATAAGTCGTTGCTAACGCTAGCTAAAGAAACATAAAAGTCTGCCAGTGCTAGCATAAATTGGAGGTGAAATTTATTAGGAATTCCGCCTTTTAAAGTGAAGCAATGGTAAGTATATTTACCTTGTATGAGTAAATTTAAAGTTTTAATTCTGGCAAATGCAATCTTATGTTTGAAACTAGGCGATATGTTTAATAAATTCCCCAACGTGATTTTTTTTTTGCCAATCCCTATTTTTTTTAACGTGTAAATGGATTTCTGACTCATTGAGACTTTTTACAAAAGTGAAAAACCAAACAAAGTTTGATACATTTGATAGAAGGACACAGTAAAGGCAGTGAACCACCAGCAAGTGCGCCAGCTGCTTCATAACAAGTTTGTCATGGTGCTGGGTGACTCCAGTGAGTACAATCCAACATTTACTTGTGTGTTTATATCTAAATTTAACCCTCTTATTGTTGGATTTATTTCTCAGTTCAGCGGTCTGTGTACAAGGACCTTGTTTTGCTGTTGCAAAAGGAAAAGTACCTCTCTCTAAGACAACTAAGGAGCAAGGTATGTATATAAATTTAGATCATAAGTTCATGTGTAGTTTGTTTCTTGTTTTAAAATGATTCTTTTGTGTTAGCTGTGTGTATTTCTTGTGCCTTTTTATTTTATTCCTTTAGGGTGAGATGAGCTTCGAGCTGGACTGCCTGGTGGAAGGCGGCTGTCTGGACACAATGACCAACGGGACGGAGTACAGAGAGATCCGGCAGTTTCAGTCCGATCACCACCTGGTCCGCTTTTACTTTGTGACCCGCGTCTTCTCCCAGTACATGCAGAGCATCATGAAGGACATCCGTCACGGCTTGAAACCAGACGTGATCATCGTCAACTCCTGTGTCTGGGATATTTCCAGGTGGGTATTACACAAACTTTAACTTGAAGCTTTTTTTTTTTTCTTGATCAAATGTTACTGATTCGGTTTTACTAAAACCAAGTTTTGATGTATGCCAGACTAATTCGCCTTTTTGTGTGTGTGTGTGTGGGGGGTTTAGATACAACACAGTTTGGACTGAAGACTACAAAAAGAACCTTCACAAGTTCTTTAGTAATCTGAAGGAAGTCCTGCCTGAGGAAACCTTGATAATATGGAACCTGACCATGCCCTTAGGAAAGTGCATCAGAGGAGGCTTTCTGGTGCCTGAGGTGAACCATCCACAGCTAACTGTGTCAGAACTGGACACAGGATCTGGGGTCTCATTTATAAAGGATTGCGTGGAAACCATACTAAAAGTGAACGTACGGCCAAAAGGCGGAAATGGCGTACGCCAAAAAAAATTCAGATTTATAAAACCGTACGTACGTACGTTTCTGCGCATCTTTCCTTTATAAATCACAGCCGCACGTCAGAGTTTGCGCACGAGGTCCCGCCTCAGGTTCTACCCTTACATGCCCACATT